ATCTCTTATCTCCTATCTCCTATCTCCTATCTCCTATCTCCTACTCCTACTGCTACTGCTACTCCTACTCCTACTCCTACTGCTACTGCTACTCCTACTCCTACTCCTACTCCTACTCCTACCCCTACTCCCACTCCTACCGCTACTGCTACTGCTACTATTTATGTGTCTTGTTCTTATCGGGTGGTTGTCGTTGGTGTCGTAGTAGCAATAGCAGGAGTGTCGTTGCTCTTCTCGGGGTGCCGGGAGTGTCTTCTGTGCTTGAAATTTGAAGCATTTCTGGGCTCGTTGGTCGATCTGCTCGCGCAGAGTCCACAGATGATATTATGATGTACTACATTGTGCTTTACTCTACCATGCTATAGTTTAGTAGATTATATTGTAAAATATTACTATATTCTAAGTCCACAGATTGTCATGAGAGGCCAAGCGCTTCCGAAAGGCTGAGACCAGGTTCCGAAGTGACCCCGGCACCAGCAGCTGTTAGGCAAGACAGGGGGTTAGAAATAGGCTTGTAGGCTTCATGTATAGGGTCGTTTGGATTGGTGAGTTTGGTTGGGGATTTCTCGTCCCCATGCAGGCCCAAACCTCCACATACCTCCACTAGGTGTCTTGAACCCCCTGTCGTCGCCCAGCCGCTACACCACATGTCACGTAGACGTGTGAGTAGTCTGAAGAAGCGTTACAGGGAGGTTTGGCGAGAGCCGACAAGTTTTTAGTGAGAGATTGACTGTTGTCCTGAGGACATGATGCAGCAACGCTGTAGCTCAATACGGTCACGGAACATGACAGCACCGAGAGGACCGAGGCATCTGAAAGACACTGGCCCGGAGGATCGGAAGTAATGGATCCCTGTTACTGCAGTTTAACGAACGAAACAAGACAATGGCAGTACAATGAAGAATCGTCGCAACCGGGTGCCGGAGGGCATCAAGCCTTCCGAAGGTTTCGGTCTTCGTCGGATGCTGCAGTATTCTGCTTTCTGGACATTCGAGTGCATGGCTTTTGGAGCGGTCCGTCGTAACTCCTCAGTGGCATACATATATATCTTAGTCTTGCAGGAACATCAGATGTGTCTCGCAGGTAAGTTGCCTTACACGATTTTTAAACCACCGGTCTCTCGCGTTCGATCTTTCCAAGGCCATGCAACTTCCGGCCAGACAATTCAGCTTTTAACCTGCGATCCTTTCGTGTACAGGCTGGCTGTAGCCAGCGTGGTTGGCCCTTTGGGGGCTTAGGATCTTTTGCTCGCGAACCAGTCTTGAAGAGCGAGGCACCACTCGTCGTTAGAGTACAGAGGAATCCGTTTCGACATCACCGCTTCCGCGCTTCTTACTTCTTCAATCTTCGCACTGGCAGTACCATTCTGGGTGCCTTTCTCTCGTGCCCCGTTCTGGACTTGCCTCTGGCAAGCGACTGGGGTGACCAGACGACCATTTGCCGGGTAGCAAGACAAGTAATTTAATGATGCTCTCCTGTGTCAGATGAGGGTTGCGGTGCTTGCATGAGTGAAGAGGCGGATATGCCATTGTGATTGATGCGAAGAATAAGAATCATGACCAGAGGAAGTTGCTTTCGATCTACAGCATGCGCTTGCCCCGCCGACTCGATCGAAGGAATTCTCGAGCGATCCCAGGGGAAGTCTTTTGCTTTCAGAATGCTCTGACACAAGATGCCAATATTGTCATTCCAATTCAAACTACTTTTTGTGCATGTGTGAGGCTTGGCCAGGCTCGTGCGAGTAAAGAAGACAAGCCTGACTGTCAGTAAGGTCGCCTTAGGCACGGTTCCGCAAGGTAGCAGGAACGATTTTGTCACACTGAGTTGTTGCAGTGCAAGCAGACAGGCAGAATTCGATTGCGGCAGCCAGAATCACAACAGCACCGCTAGTACACAGAGTCAGTGGGACATCATAAGCAGCAGCTTCGTTCGCAGCAGCACCGTTCATGATAGTCCTACTTGGTGGCCGTCATCATTACCGCGATGACGAAAGCAGCTGTTCTTCCTGTACTGCTGTGGTGATTGTGCCGAATAAGAGGATAGCCCCTCGCACGATTTTTCGTTACCCGTTACACGAGTTGGGCATCGGGATTCTCAATCCTCACCGTCTAGGAGGTCGTCACATGTGTAGGGCACGAGGTGTTCAATTCAAGAACCGTGATTTGCGCTCTCTGTGACACCCGTGTTGCGAGCCAGGATGCAACCAAGGTGGGCCAAAGTAGCATCTATTCTGTTATACTATATACCCTCATCACCCTCATCACCAGCACCATCGCCATCATCATCAGCTTCACTTATGTCTCCCCGTGAATAAGTATAAGCTCAGATACGGGGCAAACTCGGCAACCCCTGCATACCCATAGACCCCATAGTAGTGCCTTTTTGGGGTTACCTTATCGGATTCTATATATGAACCCCAAAAAGGAACTACTTTAGGGCCTATGGGTACAGCGAGATTCCGCCAGCGAGGCTGCGGGCGCATTGAGACAGCGCAGTCACGCCAGCAGGCCTTGGTGGGAGAGTTTACGGGGGATTTAGGTTGCTTAGGGTCTGTCGGTGCATGATTTAGGGCCTTTAATGGTTGCCTATACTGTTCTGGGGGTTCCTTGCTACAACCATAGTATAATGTACCCCAAAACCCCATTCTAATTATTGAGGCCCCTACCTTAGACTGTGGGTTCGGGTATTCGCTTTGTCTCATGGTTGAGGGGTGTCAGTTTTGGGGTTTAGGGTTGTGAGGGGCTTTCGTGCTTGAGGCTTTGCACTCGGGTTTTTGGTTTAAGGTTTAGGGTTTAAGGTTTATGGAGTTGGCGGTTGTATAGGACGCGGTTAGGCAGAACTTCGAAATCCGGATGGCCATGTGAAGGCTCGTAAACATGCTGGTTCGCCTTAGGAACATTGCTGCAGGTAAGCTGCTGTAAGCAAGGTGTCGGAAAGGTAATCGCAGTAGTGTGCAGCCGCCACCCGCGATCGACTATGTAGGACCCATATATTGCCGATGGGATTTCCGTCTTCTGTGGAACGCTGGCCAGGTCTACCCAGTCGAAGACGCCCGAAATCTTCCAACAGTACGCAAGACAAGTGAATCCAACCCTACACCCCGGAGGTCTGCGTCACGGCTTACCGCCAAGGCCAGCAGCATCTAGTGATGTAAGCCTGCAGTGAAGTGTGTCTGAGGAAAGCTGCACCACAGAGACTTGTCAGGCTTGGGATGCAAGTTTCAGCATTGAAGTATTTCCGGGGATGGATTTGGTAGCAGATGGGCCATTCATTCCCTTGCCAGTTCATCGTGTTATTCGGGCCCTCAGGTCTCAGGGTGGGTGGGGTGGTGCGTCCACATGGCCACCGTCAACATGATCAATGCCATCACCGGCTATAATCGAACCACCCAAAATCATCAGTCTCATCGCAGGCTAGCACAACTACCCACTGGGCCACGGTCAACATCGTCATTACATGAATAACCATCATCATTGGCATCATTCTCACCAGCAGTCTCATCACATGCCATCAGGGTAACCTACAACCTACCGCTGTAGCTGCTGCCGTGACCCTCTACACTTCTTACGGTTAGGACTACCAAGACTACCTACTGCTGTTGCTGCTCGGAGACCATTTGCATGAACCTGTTCCGTTCCCGAGGGCCATTTTGGCCGAAGGGTCAGGGCCAGCCCATGCAACCGAAAGAGCCGAGCACATCAGAAGATCCACCTGAAGGAACTGAGCGCCTGACCAGAAATCTGCCCGTCATGATTCAATATCTTGCGACTAAGACCCTGCACCCAACATTCAGAACAACAGTGCTCGAGAGCTGCCCGAAACCAACAAGTTCCTCCTCTTTCCGAAAACGGCAGTCTTCAAGCCAAAACGCTGCGACATACTGTACATTTCTGTAGATACCGAGGAATTCCTGGCTTACAACCTCCATCCAATCCGGCATGATTTTTGTTCTTGCCCGAAATGGTGCCGAAACGCCAAGCTTAGCAACATTCCAACATCACGGAGAACCTTTGTTGAAAACCCCAAATACGCCTGAAATGCACGACGCTAAACCATGTGGACGGTTGTTTGTGTCCCACGCGTTTTTTTGGCGCTGTTGCTGCTGATCCATGTAGCAGTGCCAATAGGATCGCGGCGCAAGGTTTGCCAGATGGCTTATATGCAAGTACGTGGCAGGTTGGTGCTTTCCGGGGTTTGGATTGTTGGCGAATGCCTCGATCTGCGGCACAGGTCAGCAACCCTTCGCTATGTCAATATGGCGCGCACTACACACTAGTTTCGAGGGTTAGGGGCCGACAAGCACTGCTGAGAAGTAGCCTCGTGATTCGTGCCAGCCACATTGCTTTCTGCAGTCTCGTTGTGACGGTGGAAGGTGGCCAACCCAAGAAATACCACAAAAGGAGCGAATGGCACCCAACCTCGAAACTGCACACGGTGATGATGCCGCAGAATCGTGGGCAGTGATGTTGCCAGCAAGCCCTGAATTGTGCACCCAACAACGTCCGCAATAGCAGCAGGTAGCAGTCCCCTAGCATCAGTATCAGTATCAGCCAGACTCAGACGAAGAAGCATTTGTAGTCGTAATCGAAGGTGGTCGTCGCCCTAACTGCTGCTACTACGTCTCCTATTACTACGACCGTACTAAGATGCCGAATGGTGCTACTACAACGACGACTCTATCAACAAGTGCAGTGACGTCGACGAATCGAGCGCGACAATGGTCATGAGCACAACAAGCCTCTTACACTCCCCCCATGATAGAGTGTACCCAGCAAAGTCAAACAAAAAGGTTGCTGCAGTGTGCAGCAAGTGGAGCACGTGTCAGTTTCAACTGCAAGAAACCCAGAGGCCCAGAGGGTTCACGGTTCAGGGTTCAGGTGTATATGGGTAGTTCTCTAAATTAGGGTCCCGTTTTAGGTGCCCATTATAGTACGGCACCCTTATAAAAAGGACCCTAAAAGGGGCCCTAATTTTGAAAACTACCCATATAGGTGGCAAGATCCATCGAGTTAATGTTCCGAAGCCGCATGCGGAGAGGCTGGCAATTCGCCGGCAGACGTCTTCGCTCACCCCAGGCTGGGCCCCGGTGCAAAGACTTGGGAGGGTGTAGCCTCAGGTTTAGGGTTTAGGGTTTGGTTAATTTAGGGGTTTAGGGTTTAGGGTTTAGGGGTTTAGGGTTTAGGGGTTTAGGGGTTTAGGGTTTAGGGTTTAGGGGTTTAGGGGTTTAGGGTTTAGGGTTTGCGACAGCAGAGTGTGAATTCCAGAATGAGTCGGTCCAGCAGAACTCCAAGTCCTGCGGCTCCATTCGAAGCTCAGCTGAATTTGAGGGTTCCTTACTGGGTCGGTTTAGGGTTTAGGGTTTAGGGTACCTTAATGTGTAGGTTTAGGGTTCAGGGTTTAGGGTACCTTAATGGGATGTGCTGCTGTACCAGACTCGAGCCAGTGATTAGGAAGCCAGCCAAAACCAGATTGCCAATCCTCACCCTA